CTTTCCCTCCCGAGAGCCCCTGGTTCTGCCCTCTGTGATCTGTGGGTTCTAGGTTGGGAAGGGTCCCCGGGTGGCCTCGCCCGCTGCCCCGCGGGCCCTCTGATGCTCTGGTCTCTTCGGCTCCTGTGGGACCCATTCCCGAGGAGCCCGGCTTGGTCATCATGCTCTCCAGCACCTGCTGTGCTGTCCGCAGGCGCTGGCCCGCTCTCCGTGGCCGCCATTTCCTGCGCCCTCCCCTTCCTCTTCTGCCTTCAGCAGCTCTGACTGCCCCCACGCCCCCCTCACGTCAGCCAGGCCCTCTGCTCACCCTGCCGCCTGCACGTCCCAGTTTCAAAGAGGGCTTTTCCCCTGCCTTTGACCCAAGGCAGAAGCAGACGCCTTCTGAATTCCTCCAGCTGGCTTTAATGAACCCCTAGGCACACACACGCTGTCAGGGCCCCTCCCAGCCGCCTCCGGCTGCAGCGTGGCCGACCGGTGCCTGGGTCTCGGCAGCCACTTTCAGCCTGAGCGGAGCTCCCTGCAGGCCGTGTTTTCCGGTTCACGAGTCGGTCTCTCCTGCACTCTCGGATGCTGAAGGAATCCTTCTCCACATCACCCTTTTTAGTCACCCCACTCTGCACAGCCCCCAGACAAGGCTCCAGGTCCCCACTGGCCAGCGCCGTGTGTGCCTCCTCAACTGATGGGTCGTCCCTGGGCCCACAGCCTGCATTCACCAGAGTGGCTCGAGTTTCTCCACGTGTCTAACTGCGGTCCTCGCTGAGCTCACACCTGCAGGTGGCAGTGTCTGCACATGCTCTAGTTGCCATCTTGTCCCATGGCTTAGAAGCAGCACCCTGTCTCCCTGCCACCAGAGGTGAGGACCTACCTCTGGCCTAGGGAGCAGAGCCATGGTAGGGCCACAGTGGGAAGCCTAGGACTCTGTGGGATCACCCTGGAGGGTCCTCTTGACCACTTGAGAGGAGGATGCTGAGTTTGGAGCTGAGGTGGCCTTCTGGGCCTGAGGACCCCACCTGTCCCTGCACCCCAGTAGCAGAGGTGGCCAGGAGGGGCAGGGCCACAGGGGAGGGCAGTGGGGCCTGCACCCTTTCCCAGATGGCAGCCTCGCTGTCCCCAGCCCTGTCCCACCTTCTTCCAGCCATGACCTTGCCTCTGGCTCTCCGAAGAACCCAGGGTGCCAACCTGGGGTCCTGGGCTCCTGTTCCCAGGGGCAGGCCCTGCCCCTGCCCTGCTGCCCCTGCCCCTGCCCTGCCCCTGCCCCTGCCCCTGCCCCTGCCCCTGCCCTGCTGCCCCTGCCCCTGCCCCTGCCCTGCTCCTGCCCTGCCCTACCCCTGCCCTGCTGCCCCTGCTCCTGCCCCGCCCCTGCCCTGCCCCTGCCCCTGCCCTGCTGCCCCTGCCCTGCCCCTGCCCTGCCCCGCCCCTGCCCTGCTGCTCCTGCCCTGCTGCCCCTGCCTCAGGGACCAGGCCCTAATGGCCTCTGTCCTGCCAGCCATGAGTCTGCCGGCCCATCTTCAAAGCCCGTCCTCGGCCTGGCCGGGTCCAAGGCTCCCTCCAGGGCTTCCTCCTGCTCACAGCTTCCCCTCTTGATGGGAGTCAGATGATATGAAGGTCGGCTACACTACGGTCCTTCCCAGCCGGCCTTGGTGGCCTGCCTCCTCCCCTCTGCTCCCTGGCCCACCAAGCCTCCTTCCTGGCCCTTGCCACCGGCACAGGTGCTGCGGTCACCGGGAGGGCCTGAGGTCTGGGATATCACTTGAATCGTGACTTAGTCCCGCCTCCCTCATCTGTGGAAGCAGGATTGGCAGGCCGACTTCAGAGCTGCTGGTTTATGGGGGGCCTGGAGAGGGCCCAGAGCTGGACTTGGCAGGAGACGGGGGACTGCCATCATCACGGCCATCCCCATCGTCCTCCTCATCCCTGCTGGAGACACTCCCTCTGTCACCCCCTGAGCCAGAGTGCTGCTTGGGTCATGCACAGAGCTGAACATCTGGGCCATGATGATGACAGCCACAGACACCCGCTCTGCTGGGCCAGCCTGAGCCAGGAGCACCCGGGACAGGAGGGCGCTCTCTGCCAGTGGGCGCTGTCTGTGACCGTCTAACTGCAACGTCACTGGAAGGCCAGTGGGCTGGGGACACACGCCATCAGACGCCTGGGCCGGCGCTGCTCAGGGCCTGGGGTTGGCAAGGCTGAGCCCACCCAGTGCAGGGAGCACCAGGTCCCCTCTGCAGGATGCGAAAGGAGGCTTCCCGGGTTGGGACGTGGCAGGCCCTGCAGGCTGGGGACTGCCCTGACAGCGAGCACGGCCACCAGTCCCACTGGACAACAGTGCTTGCCCGGCAGCCTGCAGCTGGAGGCTGGTGTCTCTGGAGCAGGGTGACTGTCTGACTCACCAGGCAGCGCTGGGCGTGTCTCCAGCCCTCAGGGAAGGAGCCAGGTCCTGGCCTCTGCTCCTGCTGAGGTCTGGTGGCCGGGCCTCCCCAGGACAGCCAGCAGCACACCTGTGGCCAAGCAGGGGTTGTCATTGGTGCACCTGACACACCTGGGCGCCTCAGGTAAGGGTGGCAGAAAGGTCTGGCTCAGGGGTGGCTGGGTGGCTCAGGAGGCAGTGGATCAGGACGCCCTTGGGGGACAGGCAGGGCCATGGTCCTCTGGGAGGAGGGGCGGCTCCAGGGTGGGGATGGACGGATAGCAGCCTCCCTGCTCCTGGCCAGGGCGGGGTCTAGCCCATCTAGGTTTGGACAATGACCTTATCTGCTCTGTGCTTATGCTTGACTGTCACATGACAGTGGCCTTGTCTGAGGCAGGTGCTTGGTACACTGATGGGCAGGGGACGGCCCATGCCCAGGGGGGACCTGTGGACACTCTTCTCTTCCTCAAACTCGGGAGGGGCTCTGGCCCTGACCTTCCCGTATCCACTCTGAAATGGGTGCCGGCAGGGGTGTCCTCAGGAGCACTGTCCGGGCCGGTCCCCAGGGGGGCACAAGTCCCTGGCCTGTGGGAGCTGGCTCCCTAGCAGCTTCTAGAGGGGCTGCTGCAGGACCCAGGGCTCTAAGGCCAGGAGTGGACCCCTGCAGGGGATCCGCAGAGCATGTGGATGCCCTCCCTTCCTCCCCTGGTCCCCTGCTGCCTTGTTGGGCCACTGCCCACTGTAGGGGCTGCCGTCTGGTCTCTCCTGAGCTCTGCCCTTTCTGCCTGGCAGAACCCAGCTGGAAGGGGGTGGTGGGTCTCCGAGGAAGGGTTTCTTTCTGGACATCGTTGCCCCTGGCCCTGCGCGTTCCTGTTCTGTTGCAGTCATCGTTACTAAATGGCTCTGGACACCCAACTCAGGGCTGCCTGGCGTTCGGGGCATGGTGGGGTCTCTGAAGCAATGCCTCGCATTTCAGCTAAAAATAACCTCCCCGCTTGTGCCACCATCTGACAGCAGACTCTGCACACAGGGGCCGTCCCTGTGTGTGGCACCCAGGCGTGACGCAAGGCCACAGCATCTGGTGGCAGGTGGAAAGTGAGTACCAGTAGGCAGGTACGTGGCTTTCTTGGCTCTGATGTGGCTCCTGAGTCCCGTTGTCCGTGTGGGGTTCCCTGTCACCAGTCTGGTAGGAGGCCACAAAGGGTTCCAGGAGATGGCTGGGGAACGAGGCGCCCATCTTGCCCTCCAGCTGTCCCCCAGGGAGCAGGCTCAGTGAAAACCCATCTTCAGAGTGGCCAAGGGGCTCCCCCTTCCACGTGGGTGCCAGCAGGTAGAGCCAGGGGTGGCCCTCCCCTTGCTTCCCAGCCCCAGGATCCCCCGCTCCTGCCCTGTGTGCTCTCTGTCCCCATCACGAGCACATGTCCTCTGCAGGGACACCCAGGCTGGGTGGGGGCTGCAGACGCCCTGGACACCTGGGTGCCCTGCCCTCACCCCCTGGCTGAACTGTGTGGTCACCGTCTGCCTCCTCCAGCCTGGGGTCCCCTTCAAAGTCAGGGGGTCTGGCCCATGCACACACTGTTCCAGGCCCAGCACCTGCCTGGGGCCCGGCATGAGTTGAAAGGACCCTGGAGTCCAAGGGGACATTTGAGGACTTTGATGTTGAAAACCCGATTTTGCGTCATAAGGACATGTTGTGGCGTCTGTGAGCGTGAGTGCAGGTGGCTTCCCCTCCGCCCCCTCCCTCCACCTGCTCCATGCCCACCAGAGCCATCCTGGGTCACAGTGGGAGTGCGTCTGGAGGGATCTCCCTCTCCCCTGCTCTGAGGCGTGGCCACACCTCTCAGACCTCGCTGTTCCTTGCTGCAGGGGGACCTCGGTCCGTGGCGAGTACTGGACCCTCCCCAGGCCGGCCATGTGAGGTCACCATGGTGGAGAGGACGCCTCCTCTGGGCCGACGCCTCCTGGTCCTGCCCAGGCAGCCCCCAGTGCAGCCTCAGCCCACTTCACTGCAAAGTGCACTTAGCAAACGTCCACGGGGCTTTCAGGTGTCTGTCCCTCTGTCCCCTTCCCCGTCCCTCTCCCCTTCCCTCTCCCGTCCGTTCCTGCCCCTCTGCTCCCTCACCCTCCATCTCCAACCACGCAGGAGGAGAGTGAGGAGGAGGCACGAGTGTCCAGGGGAGGCTGCCCTTGAACCCTCAGAGGGCCACAGTCCTCAGCCACCAGGGACAGCAGCAAACCACCATGAGGCCAGAGTGCCCCACAGGTGGGAGAGCCCCAGTATCCCAGCAGCCAGAGGCCCTGGCAAGGTCCCGTAGGTGTGCCAGTGCCAGCCAAGACCTCGTGGCAGCCTCCGCAGCCTCTGTCCAGCTGGCAGATTGGCGGAGGCTCTGGCCTCCCAGCAGTGGGGGCAGGGGTGCCCCCGGGTGTGTGGAAACACGGGTGGCGTCACGTCAAAGGCCAATGCCATCTGCAAACTCCCCAGCCTCAGGACTGCCCCCTGCTCCCCTCACAGGTCTTTGGACACATCGTCCCTGGGGCCACGACTGTAGGCCTGTGTGTGTGCAAACTTCAACATCGAAAAATGTCCTCATAGTAAGGCAGAAGCTGATCAGATTCGTTTAATCTTTGTTAAAAGCATCACAAATTAATCGTTGGTCTTTTTAAAGGAAAAATAAGAAAGAAGGCGTCCCCTGTTGTGTGCACACACTGAGTGGGTACGGGGCCTGCTCAGACAGCACGAGACACCAGCGCTGTCATGCCAACTCCAGGTGCCCCTCTGTACACCTGCACGCCAGGCGTGGAGCTCAGTAGACGGCCAGGTAAACGCACAGACCCACGTGCTGATCCCCCGGTTGCGGAGATGGAACACACGGGAACATGGGATGCCACCATCCTCCCAGGTTCTTGGGTCCACACACCCAAGAAGATCTTAATACCAATAATAACATAAAATAGGAAAAACACAATTACCAAGGGGGATCCCCACCCAGCAGCTGAGAAAATTAAACTGAGTGGTCGAGGAGGGTCGGAGACGTGCAGCTGGCCACCCGCAGGCCCTAGTGAGCCAGGGAGGGTGTTTCCAGGGATCCCGAGCTGACCTCGGATCTGGGCCTGGGTGGGCTGAGTGTGAGCATGGCTGTGTCCAACACGCATGGCCAGTGGGCACAGATGTGCTGGGTGGGGGCCGCAGCTCGCAGGTCTCCACATAGGAGTGAAGAATGCAGGCTGAGGGTGGGCACCGGCAAAGGTCTCAGGTCACGGCCTTTACTGGCACTTGGCCCCTCCCCAGGGAAGAAGCTCCCAGAGGGACTCCGGCAGCCCAGGTCAGTGGGCAGGCAGGGTGGGGGCAGGCTGGGCACAGCTGGGACCCTCCACACCCAGGCATATCCCTGAGAGTCCCATCTGTGACAGGAACACCCAGATGCCAGGGGCATCCACCCAGCAAAGACCAGGTGCCCGGAGGCTGAAGACCTCTCCCTGGGCCTCCCTGGCTACAGGCCACTCCTGGGGAAGACAGGCGGACACCCCAGGCTCCGGCAGGGTGCAGAGGACACTGCTGCCTTGCTACAGGCCCTGGTGTGGCCACCAGAGAGCCTGGCCTGGGCAGGGAGGGGAGGGGAGGAGGAGGACAGTGACTTCCCAATTCAAGGCAAAAAGTGAAGTGCCCGCTGTCTTCTGGAGGCTTGTGCCAGAGCCCCCAACTCCAGGCGGCTGCGAGCTGCGTGCTGCGGAGGGCTGGCTCCAGGGCCACCCCGCTCCATCTTGTCCTGACCCTGGGAAACCACCCATTTCAGGCCCATCGCCCACCTTCACCTGGGGGGGCACACTCCCAGTGGCCCCTCAGATCTGCCCTACACCTCCTGGTTGGCTCTGCAGGAGCCCCCCAAGTTGTAAGGGGCACAGAAGGCTGTTCCGGCTGCGGGGGGCCCGCCCCTCCCAAGTCCCTTGAGCTGCGGGGCAGAGCTGTGTGAGGCCGGGCAGCGCCGGCGAGGAGCTGTAGGCTGGGGTCCCTGTGTCCCCCACCCCAGCCCGCTAGGGAAAACTGGCCCCTCTGGGCCCAGAGGAGCCCTGGGTTCTAGAAAAGTGGTTCCAAGAATGAAGCTCTGACGGCAACCCAGATGCCCACCAACTGGCCACGAGAACAGGAAGTTCAACCAAAGCCCCAGAGCCAACGGCCACCTAGAGGGAAGTTACGTCATCTGCAGCTTAAAAAGAGGACGATGGCAGAAAGGCCTGGAGGTGGTGCTGGGAGCCCTGGCCACAGGGTCCAGGACTCCGGGGGCTTCTGCAGGGACAGGAGCTGTAGTGCAGTGTCTGTGTGGGTCTTGGGTCTCGGAGCAGGGCCAACCCGGGGGGCTCGCTCCCAGACTGGCTCTGGACAGGCCAGCGGCAGCCAGGAGAAGCCAGGCCTTGGCTGGGGCGACAGGTTGGAGCGGCCTGGTCATGTGCAGGGGCCAGGGCCAGAGACACCCCAGAGTCAGGGGTGGGGACATTGGTGGCTCTGTGGGCCTGACCCAGGAGGGTCAGGAGTCAGCTGTGCTGGCATCCCATGGGCCTGGTGGGCTGGGATTGGGCAGAGGGAGCAGTGTCTGTCCCACGTGGGGATGGTGGAGGAGGTGGCCTCCCGCAGGTCTCTGAGGGGACATGGTTCCAGCTGCACTCGTGGCTGTGCCCTCCAGGGAGTGACCAGCGGAGGAGAGTGTCCCGGCCAGACCCCGCCACATCAGCTCACCAGGTAGCTGTGCATCTCCCGGGAGTTGATGCTCAGGACCACGCCCGAGTGGTTGCCTGGGGAACAAAGGAGAGGCCACCGTGAGCTCAGGCCATCGGCTGGGGAAAGGGAGAAACAGGCCGCGGGGGTGCCAGTGGGGTCCTGGGCAGCACGTGAGCCAGCATGCAGTGGGGATCCCAGGTGCCTTCAGTGAGTGCCAGGCTCAGGTGGTGGGCTCTCCACGCTGCTGGGGGAGTGAGGAGGGGGTGTGCCTGGCACTGTCACAAGCAGTGGGCACCCCAAGGGTTGTGAGGTGAGGCTGTGCCCACTGACCTGCACGGGGGCCACCCCTGGCATCAGCAGCAAGGGGGTGCAGGAGGGGCTGAGGCTCCGCCCCCTCCTGGCAGCGGGAGCTGCAGCGCACAGAGTGGCGAGGCGGGGGGTGGGGGGACAGGGCGAGAGCAGAGAGTGGGCTCAGAGGCTGGTGGTCAGGTGGTCCTGGGGGCCGTGCCAGGACACCAGCGCACAGGGACCCCAGAGCTACTCCTGGCAGCCTATCTGCCTGCCCCAACTCATGAGACTCCCTGCACTGCCCGCCTGTGCCCATGTGCCTGACTGTCCACGAGAGACCACAGCAAGGGTCTCCACCCCCTGGGCCTGGTCTTGCTATTTGTAAAATTCTGGTGTCCCTGGCACCCTCCGGGAAGGACCATGGTTGGTGACGCCTGGTGCACTCCAAGGGTCTGGTTCAAATGATTATTACGTTTGGTTATTTTAAGGGGCTTAAAAGCAGGCAGCTGTCAGAGGAAGGGGCCAGGCTCAGGACTCAGGTCCACCTTCCTGAGACCCCCGTCACAAGGGGCTGAGACCCTGCACCAGAGTAGGACCAGCTGGCAGGTTGGCGGAGCGCTGGCCTCCCAGCCGTGAGGGTGTGTGGAACCAGTCTTGGGGACAGATGGGGCCCGGAGCAGAGGACAGGCCTGTGGAGGGTGCCTGGGCCTGTAGAGGGCACAGTCCAGAGCCGGACGCGGCTCTCCCATCACCTCTAGTCAGGCAGTGACCTGGGAAGGCTGGGTCTCAGCTTTCCACCTGAGGAACAGGACACCAGCATCGGCCCAGGGCTCAGCTGTGTCCTGATGGGACCTGGCACCAAGTGGGCCCCAGAGGGGACCCAGGCATCTGGTCCTCATGAGCAGCCCTGGCTGAAGGACTTGGGAGATGACGGGGATCCCAGATGGGTGGGGCAGACCCACCCCTCGAGGAGCTAGAGGGAGAGCCTGGGCCTGGTGGGGACCCGAGGGCAGCCCCTGTGAGTTGTGTGCCCCGGGGCCAGCAGCGTCACCTTCCCGAGCCTCCCACTAAGTTAAAAAATGAGGCCGTGGTTTCTGACTGGCATCGTTCTGAGGGCGGAGGGCACTCTGCCGTTCACACAGCACGTCCCCTGGTCAGGGTGTAAACCTGAACTGTAGCCGTGACCACGGCTGCGGTGGACTTTCCTGGACACTCTGGCAGGAGCCTTGAAGCAATGGGGTGGCAGGTGGCCGGCCGCCTTGGCGGAGGCACAGAGGGGTGGTGTGGTGGGAACAGGAAGGGTGGGGCATGGTGAGCTTGGGGTCCACCTAGACCCCCACTCCAGCTCTGTGCCCTGTGAGTGGCGACCCGGGGCGAGTGCAGTTCGCCTCTGTCCCCCGGGCTCACTAAGAGCCAGCCTGGCTCCTGAAGCTGCCCAGAGCAGCCTGGTCCTGGCCTCAGCTGTGCCGGCTCAGGCTCCACACCTCCAGGAAGACTCGGAAGCCCTGGGGCCTCAGCTGCCCACTCGTGGAGAGGCAGAGCTGGCACGAGCCTGCCTGTGCTAAAGGGTGCCATGGTCCCCACGGTGCAGCCCTGCCGCTCCCCCAGCGGGGGCACCCGCGTCCCCACCCCTGAGTAGGGAGAGTTCTGGGGCCTCGCCTGACCTCCAGACTCCTCCCTGCCTCCCCCTGAGGCCCCAGGGTCTGCCTTTGCTGACTGCAGCACCAGAGTGGGGCCTGAGGGGCTGTGGCCTCGCCTTGGGGAGGGGTCTGGCGGTGTAGAGGCCACAGGAGCCGTGGCACGGCCCCGTGTCCAGGCCCGTGCCCTGCGTCCAGGCACCCCATGTTTTGAGGCTTACCGTGGAGGCCGGCCTCTTGTCCTCCCTGCCTCTGCTACCAGGCCTGGTGCCCTCAGCTTCCAGCAGCTTCTCCTGTCATCCTGGGGCAGCGCTGGGAGGCCCCACCGTCCCCGTGCCAGGGACATGATGGCCCAGGGTGACCCACCGGCAGGGTCTGCCGGGCCCCACGTCCTGTGTGCTTTGGGCCAAGAGGCCTGGAAGGCACCTCAGGAGGGGCGGGCCTCAGGGCAGGCGCCACCTGGGAGCGGGGTCCTGGGGCGGGGGCTCACCCTGGGTGGCGCCCTGCACGTCCTCGCTGTGGCTCACGGGGCTCGTCATCTCCTGCTCCTTCTCGTTGTGCATCTGGGCGTACACGGTCCTGCCCGGGCGTTTCCTGCTGGGCAGAGGTGGCTGCTCAGCTGTGCCCAGCCTCGGCTGCCAGGACCCGGCCTCGGGGAGCAGGGTGCAGACAGCCCCGAGGGCTCCGCTCAGCACCCAGAAGCCCAGCTCCCCGTCCTGCAGGGCCGGTCAGAGGTCTCAGGGAGACACAGCCGAGTGACACAAGATGGTGGCGCAGGGCCTGGGCCCAACCCTCCCCTTCCTCCTTTTCTGTTCCCGAGTCCCCTTTACGGAGAGGAAACCAAGGCTCCAGACGGGGAGGCACTGGCCTGAGCCCCGGAGGGCAATGGCAGGGCAGGGTGGTGGCCCCGGTCTGTGGCACTGACCCACAGTCCCCTACCCCCTATGGAGCCACCTGCAGTGAACGGGTCCTCAGCTGCTCAGAAGCAGAGACCTCAGCACCCACCAAGTGGCCCTTCAGAGTGCTCCAGGGGCCCCCGTGGGGCAAGGTCCCCAGGCCCTGGGAGGCCAGGTAGGTTTGCCAGGGGCCTCCGAGGCACCTCCGTGGTGTGCCAGTATGTCAGGGGCACCATGCACCACCGCCTCCTTGATGGTGTGCTCGCAGCCAGCCGGAGCAGACCAGGCCCATCGTCACCCTGGCTCAGCTGGAGAGCAGGCGGGGACACGTCCCTGAGCGGGACGTGCAGCCTCAGGTGGGCACCCTGATGTGGCCGGGGGAGGGATCAAGGACTCCGGGCTGCTACCACAACGGGAGCCACCAGGGGCTCCGGGAGTGTCCCCGCCTGGCTGGCTGAGCCAGCAGCTGTTCCCAGGGAAGGAGGGACACAGGGCTGCAGTGGTGACAGGGGCAGGCCAGAGCTGGAGGCCTCCCCGGGGGCAGCACAATCCCACCCCTGCTGGCTGAGCAGCCCCGTGGCCAGGCAGGGCCCGGAGGTGGCAGGGCCCGGAGGCCGACGTGCTCTCCATGTGGAGATCGGGACCTACCCTGGGGGGACACGAGTGTCAGCCACTGCAGCAGACAGGAAGCCCACCAGGGGCAACCCTAAACGTTTGCAGGCCGGGAGGAGCGGAAGCCTGCGTCCCCCCCGGGCCAGCTCCCTCGTCAGGGACCTCGTCAGGGACCCGGGATCACCCTGGCTCCTGGGGCCAGGGGGTCCACCTTGGGCCCAACCCCATCAGCTGGGAGCCAGGGCCAGGAGGGGTGGCCCTGCCCCTCACCCCCACCCTCCAGAGCTTCTGCTTTCAGCGTCCTGGGCCCACACGCCACCCTGCCACTTCCTGGCCGTGACGAACCCTGCTTCCCCGGGCTGTGGGACTAGGGAATGGCGGTCAACTGGGGGAAGGAGCACTGGGGAGGAGGTGGCTTTTCTCTGGGAGGGACACATCTCTCCCCCAGAACAGGATTTGGGGGTGAGGATGGAGTTTGCTCTGAGTCCAGGTGTCCGTGGGACACCCAGGGGACAGCAGGAAGCAGGGCCTCCAGGCGTTTGGAAATCAAGACAGACCCCGGCTGGACGCTGACCCAGCTCTGCCCAGCAAGCCCTATGCATCCTGCAGGGTCCCCAGGGACAAGTCCCTCCTCAGAGAAGTGCTTCTGGGTCCCCCGCCAGGGAGGTCCCTGTCACCCCTTCTCAGAACACCTCAGCCACCCTTTCCGTTGGAACCAGGTAGCAGGGCTGGCGAGCTGTGCGCATGCTCCCTGCCAGAGGTGACAGGGCCGTGTCCCCAGCACCATGGCTAGCGTCCAGCCTGGAGCCAGCTGTGCCACACTGCTGCCCACAAGACCAGAGTGTCAACAAACGGGCACAGGAGAGATCCAGGCGTGGCTCCCCACAAGCACGGAGGGAAAGAGTGGGCTCGTCCCTCGGTGCTCCCCCAGGTGACCCCAACCAGGGCAGCGGGGCCCACAGCTGATCAGCAAGAGGGGCCCAGCAGGCCAGTCTGCCCTCTGCCCACTCAGCCTGATCCTTTTGCTTGTTCCCAGGTCCAGGGTCCAGGTCGGTCTGGACTGGGCAGCCGCCTGGGGCAGCGTGGTGGCTAGCACCTTCCAGGAGGAGAGGGCTCGGGAGGGAGGGGACGCGCTGCAGCCCTGCCTCAGCCTCCCGGGTGTCCAGGAGCCGGGCCGCTCTGGAGCCCCCTCCCTGTGGAGTGCAGGGCCAGAGGGGCAGCCCTGCGGGCTTCTGGCCGGGGTGGGAGGGACGCGGGAGGAGGACCCCTGGGCATGGAGTCAGGCCCTCCTCCCGCAGACCGCGCACAGGTTACTCCCCCACCTGTGAAGGGCACGTGCCTCCCTCAGGTGGGTGGAGGTGGAGGGCGCCCGTGACCCTGTGGGCGGAGGGCATGCATGGGAGATGCTCTTGGGGTGAGTGCTGGCCTCTCCCCAGGGCCCACGGGTGACAGATCCAGGAGGGGCGCTGGGCAGGTGTCAGGGCAGGCTCACACCACCTCCCGCCATGGCCCTATGGGGGCCACCGCTCCAGGGGTCTCCCCAGGTCTTCCGGGCAGCAAGGACAGGGCCCAGCGGGCGAGGGCTCCTGGCAGCCTTGCCTTTTAAACTTGTAGAGGATGAAGGCTCCCACTGCGAACAGCACGGTGACGGAGAGGACCACCACGGCCCAGTAGCCGCCGCCGCCGCCCAGGCTCTGAGAATCTGTAAGCAAGGCACCAGGAGGGGACAGCTGAGGGCCAGCCCTGGCCGGCCCAGACCCAGGAGGCCATTTCACTACGCCTGGCTGATTCTCCCAGTGTGGCTAAGGGGGCGGCGGGTCTCGAGGGACCAAGGAACACACACTCTGTGGCCTTGGAAGGACCCGGTCACTCCCTTCCCAGCCCAACTCCTGCTGTACACCGTGGGCCTGGACCCACTGTTAGCTGGGCCCTCCTCGGGGGACACCACTGCCTCCAGGCTGGTGTGGGGCGAGGGTGGGCTTCCTAACGGGTGTGGTGTCCGCAGAGGGGAAACTCAGCTACTGCACAGATTCCTGCTCCAAGGAGGGGGACACGTGGGTGACCAGTGCGAGGGCCGGAGCCGAGGTCCTCTGAGACCCGGGGCAGGGTGTGGACCAAGGCAAGGGCCCCGGGCTGCGCTGGTTGGGACAGACGGGCTCCTCAGAGCTGGACGCCAGCCAGTGGGAGTGTGTGGGCAGAGGAGGGCCCCGCCCGGGTCCCAGAGTGAGGCCCACCCCGGGGGCCCGCTAGGCTCTCACCTGAGCTGGTGTCCCTCAGGCCCACCAGGATGCGGAGGCCTCCCCGCAGGAGGAAGCTGATGTTGTGTGCGCCCAGCGCCTGCTGGACGGCCGAGAGCCTCTGAAAGCAGAGGGACAGGAGGGTCCTCCGAGGCCCGGGGCAGGCGGGGTCCAGCCTGGCTTCCTGGAGCCGTGGCTGGGGAGGGCCCCACCTCCCAAGCCCCAGCGTCCTCCTCCGTGACATGGGAATGACAACCCACAGCTGACTTCCAGGGTCACCACTGACAGGACACACAGGTGGCACACTCGTCCCTGCCTCTGCAGGGATGCACGGGACGCAGTGCCACCGAGTGTGTTACGGGGTTGGGTGCTGCAGGAGCCCCGGCCTCCAGCTTCGGCAGTCAGGGAAGGCTCCCCAGAGGGGGGAGGCCGAGAAGAGGACAAGGCGGACAGGACACAGGGCTTGGGCAGGGGAGTGGACCCACCCGAGGGGACCCTGCGAGGTGTTTCTGGGCTGTGGGGTGAGGTGGGGTGTCAGGGGCTGGAGAGGGTCTCGGCCAGGCAGCAGCCAGCCTGTCCATCTGGGACGGTTCACACGGGGTGCCCGGCACACAGTAGGGCTCCTCAGCTCCTCTCACTCCTCGCTGTACCCTGACCGCCCATCAGCCCAGGGTCTGCCTGCATGGACACCATTCCACATTTCTGGGTCCCCGTGGCTCTGGGCTCAGGAAGGTCCTCCCAGAGCCCTTGGAGCCATGACGGAGCACAGCCTGTGACCCCCAGCGTCCCAGCTCCCGGCTTTGGGGAAGAAAGGGCTTTGTCCCCCCCTGAGCACCAAGTCCCAGTGGGTGACTCTTCCTGAAGCCCCTCAGGGGCCTGGGACACCCCCGCCCACTCCCACAAGGTGGTGGCCTGTGGCTCTACCCTGCTCTCTGCCATTCGGTCGCCTGCTGGACCTCACAGCCCCTCAGGGCTCTCCCTGCGCAGGTGGTGCAAACGGCCTGGGAGGTCCTCCCACCAGGCCCCAGGCACCGAGGCTGGTGTCCCTCAGGCCCACCTCTGGAGGACATTCTGAGGGCCGGGTCAGTGCAGCCTGGACATGCGCATGAGGAACCCAAGGCCAGCTCCCTGCTCAGGGCGAATGAGGGGTCCTGACCCTAGGGTGGGGACGGATGCTCCTGGGCAGTGGGACAGCTGTCCTCCATGCCTCCCCACACCCCCTTCCCCTCTGGGGTGTGTGATGCAGGTAAGGGGGACGTCACCATGGCCTGGATTTGCACGTCCCTGATGGCTAGGGATGGTGAGTGTTTTTCCATGTGCCTTTGGCCACTCGAGTGTCCTGTTGAAAACTGTCCATCCAGGTGTGGCCCCTCTCACTGGCCTGTTTTCTTGCTCTTGAGCGAGGTCCTGTATGTCTGGGACCCAGCCGCTGTCGGACGGTGAGGGTGAGGACCCCCATCCTCTGGCCTCTCACTGCCCGCTGCCTTCCCTGCTCTGCAGAGGCTCCCGGCCTCACGTCCCCCTCTGCCTCTCTGGTGTCCACGGCTGTGTGAGGCCCCCCCTGACCGTTGCCTGCACCGCGTGGAGTCTGCGCCGTCCTGGGTCTCCCGTGAGTCTTCCGTCCACTTGGGGTTGACATTTGCATGTGTTGTGAGAAGGTCCGACTTCACCCCCTGCAGGTGGACGCAATGTCCCCAGCACCATTTACTGCAGAGACTGCCCTTCCCCATGCGCGGTCTCAGCCCCTGTCACCCAGCTCTGCTGCTGTGACCGAAATGCCCGGCAAGAGCCATTAGAGGGGAGGCAGGGTATGTGAGCTCATGGTCCCCAGGTGCAGCCACCTTCGGCAGCGCAACCGCTCTGGGCCCAAGTGGGGCAGCACCTCCTGGTGAAGGGCCCAGTGCAGGGCCAGAAGCAGAGAGAGAGAGAGAGAGAGAGAGAGAGAGAGAGAGGGAGGGAGAGAGGGAGGGAGAGAGAGGGAG